AGCAAATGTAACGTCGAACACAATAGGAAATTAAAAATAAATTTTCAGCTTTCTCTTCGGACACGGTTGAAAACATAAATATTCAATTTGGCTTGTCAATATTGAATCCTTCCTTTCTTCCGAAAAGGGTGATAGAACTTCTGTTATCTACCCAATCAATTCAAATGGATTCGAACGTAGAAAATTCCTTTTATTTAATGCTTTTACAATCGGTTTCCATCTGATGGTATTTTGGTTTCTGCATTTGGTTTACATTAAGCTATAGCATACTGTAAAACCTTTAGTTTATTCCAAGTAAAATAAAGGAGATTTATAGCAATACTAAATTTATATGATAACTTAAGCTTTGGAGTAAGATGAATGGGTCAAGCGTGACCCGAAATTCACTGATTTCTTAATATTTCATGAAATATTTTTTTTACCAAGTTCGATTGATCATAAGTTCTCCTTATTTGTTTCCATCTATTTTTACGTGTTTTATTCATAAATATGCAAATTACAGTTTTTCGTTCATGTAACATCTATTACGCCGGGTCAATCCTGACCCAGTCTTCGAATTTCGAACAATATTTTCAATATGTTCTCCTTATATTACTACAATAAGCAGCCGTCTCTGTTGACCAGTGAACGTATTCAAGCCCAAGGCATAGTGAACTTATTCCATAAGAACGTCTGAGACGAAACTTTGGTGTAAAGCGGCATTTAACGTTTGTTTATAAATTTAATTCAAGCATCGATCTCGAAGTGTGTAGTATTATATCAAAATGTGGAAAAAGAATAAACCTTTGAGTCAAGCTGAGTTGTATGCCTTACTCCTATCAGATAGTGAAGAAGATCACGTTAGAGAGTTGGATGAAAGCAATAGTGAAGCGAGTGATAATGATGGTTGTGAGCCAGAAGCCCATGAAGGTAATTTATCCTTTACTAAACTCTAAAACAAAAAAGTTTTAGCGACAACTTCTGAAAATACAGATAGTGAACGATCTAACGTGTCTAATGTTATGTGCGAAGGACGAACATTGACAAAAAAGGGTAAGACATTGGCATGTAATTTATTAGAGAAAAACATAGGTCTCACTACAAAAAGTCAAAATATTCAGACATACATTGATGCCTTCAATTTCTTTCTTTCTGATAATATAATGTCAGTGACTCTCGAGTATACCAATAAGAGAGCTATTGAGTTCATAGCTGCGTATAACAGTCAGAACAAGAAAAAAATTAAGGATTGGATTGACGTTGATCTAGTTTAACTGCGTGCTTTCTTTGGTATACTTATATTATGTGGAAGGTTCAGAGAATCTGATGAGAAGGTGCATAATTTATGGTTCAATACAAATAATGCTTTTACGCGTCCCATTTATAAAGCATCTCTTAGCGGGAATAGATTTATAAGTATTTTAATGTTTATTCGCTTTGGTAATTTATATACGAGAGCAGAAAGAAGAGAACGAGATAAATTGGCTTCTATTCGAGGAATCGCTGATCTATTTGCCTAAAATTGTAGAGAATCATCGGAATTATCTGCTTTTGGTACTATCGACGAGCAGCTTATAGATTTTAGGACACGTTGTCCATTTCTGATTTATATACCTAGTAAACCGAAAAAAATACGGTATGAAGGCCTGGACCCTATGTGCGTTGAAAAGTTTTATTACTGTAACTTTGAGATATATACTGGAAAGATAAGCGATCAATCTGAACGTAACCAAGGCCCAAGAGTAGTCAAACCACTTGCAAAACATTTGTATAAGTCTGGCAAAATATTACAACTGATAATTTTTTTACCGATATTGCTTTATCTGAAGAACTTTTATCCACAAATGTAACACTTTTGGGTACTATCAGAAAAAATGGGAAGAGTTTACCCAAATCATTGCTTGAAACGACTATTAGATTATTAGAGATTATTTTAGATTACAACAAAATCAAAAGTGGAGTTGATATTTTAGGTAAGTTGATCCGAGAGGACACAAGTAAAAGAGCAACAGGAAGATGGCACTTAGGTATATTTTTTAACTTTTTTAAAATTGCATGTAATTTATCATACTCACGAGATTGGCACTATGAGAAGCAAGATTATCCAGAAAGTAACCTTAACAATAATTAAAAATAAGTTAACTAATAGGTACGTTGGTTTATTAAATTTAGAACAATATTAACAATACGTGATTATCCTTTATATGTTTTGTAAGCATGGACTCTGATAGATAAAATGTGTAAAAGATTGTAAAAGTTTAAAATATGGACCAATGCTAAAAATTCGTTTATTGAAGAAAACGTCATTGTTTTAATATTTCTATTACCTATTGCATATTGGTGTATCCGCGCGAATTTGGTCCAGTCTACCATATTTGTTAAATTTAGACTGAACAAGACGCCCTGTTACTAAACAGAGTGAAGGTTGTATGACGTTTGTTATATTTGTGACTCATTCAAATATTACAACATAAACATCAATAAATTATTCAATAATTACTAATAAGTTTTATATATTTTAGTGATAATAATTTGAGTGATAATTTGATAACCAATTGTTAATGATTAATTTCCTATCACTCACTTTCAAAATTTTAATACGTCGTCTATGTAAAATTCATAAAATTGAGTAATGTCCAACAATTGTGCATTTAGCTTAATATCAATTATAAGTCTAAATTCAAAAGAAGTTTAACAGAAGCATAATTGTATATATTAAGCCCATACTATTAGTATTGTATAATAAATTAAAATTATTTTAACATACGAAATAAAACAAAGATAATTGTTGTGTCCTTAACTCCCTAAACATCCCTAATGTCCCTAAACATAAATAAAATTTCGTCGAAATGTATTTTTTGCCATCTCACTCAAGGAGGTATCCGCAGCAATAACCATATGTTCTGATATATTTTTAAAAGTATATACTTTTTCTTGATACTGTTGTATCAAGAATTATTCTTTTTATATCTGACAAAAACATTTTTCCTGTTCTCGGCAATTTGACACAGTACGATATTTATATCCAAAGTTTCCGATCGGTATATAGATTAATTTTTTGTCTACACTATACGTTTCTACTGGAACAGGGATGATAAATCTAAGGAGCATCCCTTAATTTGAACCATGGACGTATAAACATAGATGGACACAGCAATAAGATACCTTTAACACACAATGTTTTGAAGCTTCGATACAATGTGATGCTTCCGCAATGAGCATAAGCGTGCTTGAATTATTACTCGCGGGTAATTATTCAGATTTTAAAAATTGGAAGTAGTAATAATGTATAAAAACACGTTCAAGGAATTAAAAAAAAACGAGAGTTTAACTATTAACAAATCACGTCTTTATAGAAAAATTAAAATACAATTTTATTTGCTTTAAAATTAATACAATTAAATATAGTTGAATTCAAGTTAATTTTTTAATAGGTATCAAAATAATACTACAATAAAAAATCTTTATGTTTTAAACATGTAAATATTTCGTTTATCTTATTTCTCTTTTCACAAATATCACTCAAAATACAGCCAAAATATCGAAAAATAACTTTTCCTCATCTACTGTAAAAAGTAAACAAACATGGAACAGCATTTGAAGTTTGACGTTGATCCATAAGACAGAGAAATGTAAACAACCGTTGCCATTTATAAATAGTTTTCAGTGCTTCTACATATAAAATAATTGATTGATATCTATTATACGCTATTATTAAATTTATTTAAATTATTCAATGATAATGCACACTATGTGCACACTTGATATTTTGATTACAATTAAATATATTAATCTAACCAATAAATTATTATTTTGGTTTGATAGCACCTGTAGAGTATAAAATACGAAGTAACATTTTCAGCGACGAAATTTTAAAATAAAACGTGACAACAGTTGAAGGTGCTGAGAATGTGACCTATTCAAATAATTTTGACTACACAATTTTATGTAAATAACTGAGTCCATCTGTATTTATACGTCCATGATTTGAACCCCCATGCTTTTCTTGAATTGCTTTCCCCTTGAACCTTCATGCGATCTAAGTTACTAAAGTTTATTGAACTAAAAAAGTACAGTATATACCTACTTGCAACTTATTTACCTAATGTATTTTATTAAAAAAGTTTATTAGAAAAAGATAAACCCATTTTATTTCTTTTCAATTTATATTTAAACAGTTTTTTTAGTTTTCCAAAACTTGGAATGCCCTTTTCGAAATAAGTGATTCAATTTATTGTTAACCTTTATGGCACTAGAATTAAAACATTTAGCTAAAATCTCGTCCAGTATCATTAGTGTTTACCATGCAAAAATATATATTAGGATTACAGATATTCAACTACGATCAATTTTATAGTTCTCGTATGAAATATTATATAATACCCAACATATCTATATGATTTAAAGCCTTTTGAAATACTAGCGTTAACCGATCTAAGCGGATTACCTCGTAGCGTTTATTTTAAGGATAACAATAATTCAGAAATATCTACATTAATATATGAAGAAGGAAATAATTAAACGAGAGAAAACATAGCACATGGCGTATGGTGCTAACATAACATAGATTTCGCAACAATTGAAATAAATGTTACTGCTTTTTGAAATACTGCGAAAACGTTTTTCGCCACTCTATACACTCATAAGTGAAAATATTTCTAGGGTCGGCAAACTAAAGCACATAAGTAAAAAAAATCGATTTTTTTTTATCATGCATATGACTATATATATCTTCTCCACCGAATGACTTAAGCACATAAGTCATAGACGCTTATTTCACATTAATTTTAAGTAGCGTACTTGTTCATCCTTTCAATTCCTATAAATCTTTAGACGTAATAAAGAACATAAATTGACTTATTTGAAAAAGTACAACTGATAATATAATATTCAGTTTTGCAGATTTATAGGCATGACTTAAATTGTTAGGTACCTCAAGTGCTTGACGTTATCTTTATGTTATAACGATATACTGTAAGAATATACAGATATTTAACTTTAGGTAGGTACCTACTTAAAACATGTTTAGTCTACGAAGGAATAGTAATGTAAAGAATATTAATTACTTTACGAGTTTAAATTACATAAATTCAGTTAGTTTTGTTCTACAATTCTTAAAGAACGGTAATACTTAGAGATATTTCATTGTAAATAGCCACAGTTATGGATTTTTATCGAGGAAAAAACTGGTAAATTTGGTGTTAAATCAAAAAGCTATTGTTAAAGTTAAGTGTTAAACATTTTTTAAATAAATTGTAGGCAATTTGAAGAGTTTTCGTATCAATATTTTTGTTCCTACATTGATACCTTATTTTTCAGGTAACCGAAATCAGCAACCACCAAGCAGTGATTTGATCGAGAATGAACCTTCAACATTGTCAGGCATTCAGACTATTGTTGAAGGTAAGAGTGAATCATTTTTTAAATCAATAGTGAGCAACTTGAGGAGTTTTTGTAAAAATATATTTGTTCCTACATTGGTTTTCATTGATGTTTTATTTTCAGGTCACCGAAATCAGTAACCACCAAGTAGTGATTTGATCGAGAATCAAATGCTTACACGTCATCATTAATAGAGATTGAAGACAAATCAGAAGACAATCAGAAAACAGAAATTTCGTGTAAAGACGTATAAATATTTTGCGAAAGGTTTTTGTAGGGGATGTTTACTAAAAACCTTGGACAAAAGCGATAATTTTGTAAAAACCGTGGCAATGAAGAAATGGAATAAACGGTCTTTAGTATGTTACGATAATTATGGCGTTTATAACTATCAATATATTATGACTAATTCTGTTTTCTGTTCCAGTAAATTCGAAGTTGTTTACAGAAACTTTTAGACCCTAATTTTATGAGTAATCCACGTCTCGAGGGGTTTCGAACAGTTGAAAAACGAGTCGAGCGCCTTCACCAAAATACGAGATTATTCAAGAAGTCCGCCGAATAATCTAGATGACAACAGTTGTGTATATAAACCAAAGATTTTTTATTTGGAGTCAGTCATAAGAAGATCGGGAAACGCGGTTTACTTGTAACGAAACGTGAAATAAATACATTTGTACAGCTATTTAATAAATTAGTAATTAGTTATCGTGAGTTTTAATAAATTAGAATATAGACAATAAATTAGAATAAAGACAAATAAATTAGAACAATATAAATATATACTACAGTGGTGTCGGTGTGGGGTTTGAATATAAAAAGACTTTTGAATTCTTGAAAAGACTTTTGAACTTTTGAAAAGTATTGTTCATCGGGAACATCCGCGTATTTCGGTAGTGATCGTTGGTACGAAAGAACATTTAAAAAAAAAGTACGTGTGTGCTTGACCAAATATGCTGCTAGTAGAACTTTCAGTGAAACAGTTGCGTGAGCAACTAGAAGAACGTGATGAAGACTGCAGCGGGTCCAAGAAGATACTCCAAGAACGACTAAAAAATGTTCTTAACAAGAATGGAGATGACCCAGAGACATTCCATTTTCAGTCAGTAGAAGAAGCCGTTTTAACTAAAATAATTGATGGAAAATTCGAGACTGTTTCCAAAAGATTCGATGAAACGTCTCAAATGATCGAAGAAACTTCTCAAATTATTAAAGAAACAGCTAGACAAAACGACGAGAAATTTGAAAATATGTCTAGAAGATTCGACGAAGTATGTATTCAGAATAGTAAGAAGTTTGAAGAAGTCTCTAAAACATTTGATAAAGTTGAAGAGAAAATCAAACAGTTAGAGACCATGATAACTAACACGAGAGTGCTACCACCAATTAATACGGTAACTTTAGATCCGGTAGAGATAAAAGAAGACGAGACGAAATGTAAGTTGGAAACACGGCCGAAATTTGAAGGAAGTGGAGGTTATGTTCATGTCAAAGTTCCAACTTTCGACGGAAAATCGTCATGGAACAACTACATGAAACAGTTCGAATCAGCTGCAAGAGCGAATGGATGGTCAGAAAAAGAAAAGGCTGTAAACCTAACTATCGCTCTTCGAGGAGATGCCTTAGATGTGCTCCAGACCATAGCCGTAGAGGAGACGGATGATTTCGAACAACTGAAGAAGAGGTTAAATATGCGATATGGCCACGAACACTTGGAGCATGTATATCAGTCGCAGCTCAAAAATCGAAGACAAAAGAAAGATGAGGCTCTTCAAGAATATGAAGTAGATATCGCCAGATTAGTGCGATATGCTTATCCAACAGCTCCCGAAGACATGATGGAAAAGTTGGCCGTTCAAACGTTTATTGATGGTCTTCGTGATCATGAAATGCAAAGAACACTACGATTAGCTCGTCACAAGACGCTGGTTGATGTCTTATCCGCTGCCCTCGAATACGAGTCAGCTACGCAGGCCTCTGGCGGTTACAGTAAAGTTAGGACTGTAAAAGAGGAAGAAGATGAAGATAAACTTGACCAGCTCGTTAATAGGATGAAAAGCATGACATACAAGAAAACGAAGACCATAAGATGCTGGAATTGTGGCGAAATAGGACACGTACGAAGTTCATGTAAGCATCCTAGGTGGTGAAAACTTGAATCAACGTGGCAACGTGGTGTTCCGGCCGACCATGCGGAGTCGGCTTTAACAAGTCGCCCTCTTAGTTAGCGACCATCGAACGAGCCAGTCAGAAACTATACAGTCCATTTCATTTCAGTTTATTTAATGTTTCAAATGTTAATTTTATTATAATTCAGTTAAATAAAAAGTGTATAACGTATGCAATTCATTTCTACATAAAGTTTGGTCCGTACGATCCAGATGGAAAGAAGATTACAATAATTTTGATGCAAAAACAAGTGAGTCCTATTTCATTATTCAATTTCCTAACCTCATAAATTTACAAAACGTGTTTCTTTACCTATCTAAAACCCTACCGGTAGCCGAAATTTAATGTTTAACCGGTTTTCAATACGGTTAAAATCTCGGTTCATATCAAGTATATTTATACAGCGTTGCCGATTAGTTTAACATATCCGATTTTAAAATATTTATGCAGGATTCAAAAAATTAATTATTATTTTCATTACGGACTAATAAGTAATTTAAAAACTTGGTTCTTTTCATTGTTTTATTAAAGCTTTTTTATTTAATGATTGCAAGTGTTTATTAAAAGCTTTACAATATATGTATGCACGTTCATTTTAACGTAAAAACAAGTTTTTTATTACTTTGAAAGTGTGAAATTTATGTTTTCATTTATGCATTTAATGTTAGAAATCTCACAGTAGATTTTATTTCAATTTATTTTACATAATGGCTGATCTTAAAAAACTAAGACGTAAACGAGGTTCGATTAAACAGCAATTGACATGTTTTATTTCATTTTTCAACAAAATTCAAAAACTATACGATGATAGTGAACATATAGAACAGACAATCATTTTTGATTTACAACAAAGATCTGCAAAATTAGGTTCATTATATGATGAGTTTAATGATTTACAAACCGACATTGAACAAGAATGTGATGATGATCAATTAGAAAATGAATATGCTGAACGAATTAACTTTACAAACGACCATGCAACTTACACAGCAAGTGCTTTATGTTTGGTATCCAAATTAAATGTTATAATTAGTTCTGAAACAAATAATACAACTCACAGCGAGTTATTTGAAAATAAAGTAGAATTTGTCAAGCTTCCTCCAGTCACAATTCCTTCCTTTAATGGAGAGTTTTGCAAATGGATAGAATTTAAAGAAACATTTGAGTTATTAGTTCATCAAAACTCTTCATTGAATGACATTCAAAAATTCCATTACTTACGAACTTCTTTAGGCACAGAAGTGCAACAAATTGTTAAGCATTTAGAATTTTCTAAACAAAATTATATTTTAGCATGGCAGGCTTTATGCAAACGGTTTGACAATCCTCATTTGCTTGTCAATAGTCATATTAAATCGTTATTTAATTTAAAATCAGTCACACAAGAAAGTGCTAGTGCTGTAAGAGAATTAGTAGATACAGTTAATCAACATTTGCTTGTTTTAAAGAATTTAAACTTGTCTTATGAAAATCCATTATCTAGTGCTATGTTGATTCATATTATTTCAGACAAATTAGACAAAGTTACTTTAAAAGAATGGGAGCAAAAATACGATAAAGATACTTTACCAGAAGTCAATGATTTATTTAAATTTCTAGATAATAAAGCAAATCAATTAGAAAAGCTTGAAGAGAGGGGAATAAATGTCAACTCTCAAGTTCAACAAAGTTCTCAACAGAGAAAACCATTTAAAAAACATGTATCTTTAGTGTCAAATAATCTTTCTAATGCAAAGAAAATATGTCATTTATGTCAAAGTGATCATCTTATTTACTATTGTCCTCAATTTTTACAATTAAGTGTTTCTCAAAGATGGACAAGGATTAAAGGTATGAAATTATGCACAAATTGCCTATGCAAGGGACATTTTAGTAAAGATTGCAGTCATGGGTCCTGTAAAGTTTGTAAAGGTAAACATAATACCCTGTTGCATCATTATCAGGATCAAGGAACTTATTCAATTAATCACATTACAAATTCAAATATGCGAGCAGCTCAAGCTCAGTCATTACAAGTAACAAATAATGGCACCAATTGTCATGAATCAAATAACGCGACAGAGCTAGCTGTGTCTAATTTCTCAAAAACTAATAATACATATGTTTTACTGTCTACTGCCATCATTAATATATGGGATGATAATGGTCAAGTTCATCAGGTAAGAACTGTTCTTGACAGTGGTAGCCAGACTTCATTTCTAACAGAAAAATTATGCAAAAAACTTAACCTAAAGCAAATAGATGCAAATCTTTCAATTGTGGGGATCAATCGTGTCACTTCCACCCTACGTTATAAATGCAATGTTTCTATTGGATCTACTTATGATTCAGATATCTTCAATTTAACATGTTTTGTCCTACCTAAAATTACAGAAAATTTACCTATTTATAACATTGAAGGTTCTAAATTAAATATTCCTAAAAACATTTCTTTGGCAGATCCTTCGTTTCATAGATCACAATCAGTTGATATGCTTATTGGTTCCGATTTATTCTGGGATATACTTCGAAATGGAAAAATTTCTCTGGGTAAAAATCTTCCTGTCTTACAAAACACATGTTTTGGTTATGTAGTTGCCGGGTTGTGGTCACAAAATGTCGATAAGGTCCAATGTTTTTTTGTACAGAATGATCAAGTACAGAAGGATCTTGAAAAATTTTGGTCAATAGAAGAAGTTTCAAATACAAAGTTAATTTCTCAAGAGGACAACATATGTGAAGAACATTTCAAGAATACATATTCTAAAGATTCAACTGGTAAATTTATTGTCAAGATTCCATTAAAAGAAAGTAGAGAACAGTTAGGAGATTCAAAAGACTTAGCTGTGAGGAGATTTCTAAATCTTGAAAGA